GCCCCGCCCCGCCGTGCCCGCGGCCGCCCGGCAACAGGGGATGCCCACGGGGAGCGTGCTGCGATCCATTCCATTCCGCAGGGAGACACGACCGCCTTCCGCAGGGGATGCGGCTCTGAGGAGGAGGGCTGTCTAGCCTCGGGACCAGTCTAGCTATCCACAGGAGTGTTGTCCCCAATCTAGGTTCTTGACCCGCTGTGCAAAGAGCTGGAACGTGCACAGGGTAGAGATATTTTTTATTACAGATTTGCACTAAGCTGGGAGATGGATGATATCCCACAGAGCTACTTCAGCTCTGTACACAAACTATCGTTTATTTATACCAGTACGTGATTAATGGAAACCCACTCAAGTTTATACATATTGGTTAGTTGTGTATAAATTGGCACACATGCTCCTTGAGGGCATGGAGGGGTGGTGTGTGTAAGTCTTCCTGGTCACTAATGGAGTTGGTGGTTGTGATCTCCCACTGTTGCTTTTACCTTTTCCCCAGTTTCACTATTTGGCTGAGACCAGTTCCTCCTGGTGCTCTTCTCATCTTGTTGCCTTCCTTAAAACAGGATGTTCTTCATCAGTTCCTTCTTACCTTGTTTCCCAGGCTTTAGCAGTTGAAAAGGTTTCATCCTATCTAAGCCAGGTTTCTAAATTTTGTAATTATTTACACTCTTTATCATTGTCTGATAATTCTCCAGACTTGTCAGACATCAGAAACACCTGAAAAAGTCACTGTGTCGTTACAGATGAGTGTGCTATGTGCTTCTCCCTCTGTCTCAAGAAACAGATGGCATAAAATCACGTAGTAATTTAAATGGCTCCATGGGCCAGGCGCCGTACTTGTTGGAGCTTGTGTTGTAACACATCAGAAGTACTGTTCAGTTCAGTGTTGCTTTTCTGTCCGCACCTCAATATGGATTCAGCTATCCACGATGAGAACTTGATCTTTCAAAGTTAAACCTTTTATATCATTCAGGAGCTCTTAAAACGCTTTACTCCTGAGATTAAAACTTATTTTTGAACAGTGTTGCTTCTACCACATTGACAGAAATGGAGCAGCTTTCTCATTTTCCTACAGAACCAGGCACGCTAGCTGTCAGTTGCTGTGTTACTGTGTCATGCTTGCTTCACCCTTAGTTCTGTGCAGTTCATGTGTAGCCAAGTTCAGCTGGTGGCAGTCAGCTTTGATCTGTCTCTGATCTTACCTTTATTTTGCTGAAACAAAGATCTGAACTGTTAAAAGGACTTGACGTTATGGACAGTTTTGTAAGTGGTTGTTGCACTCTGAGGAAACCTGCCTGCAGTTATTGTGAAACAGTTAAAACTCAGCTGTGCAGATAAACTAGTTTTGCATTTGACAAGTGATTTCTGAAGCTTTGCAAACCAGTCAAAATCAGATCTGCTCAGCTGACTTATTTTTAGAGGCTGCAGTCTAGTTCAGATGTTTACTTTTGACATGTTGACCTTTTGGTGGCTGGACTGGCCACTGTGTTTCTCCTGGCAAATTATTTGAGCTGATCAGTGCAGACCAAGGATGTCTCACTTTCAAGCAGGATAAAGTCACTGTTCCATATGACAGCTGACTTACAGCAGGAGAAGGGCCAAGAGCATAAAGATTAGATTTATTAGCACAAAGGCTAGATTTATCCACGAAGTAGTGGATGTACAATGTTCTGTGACCTTCACTACAGTTTGAGTATTGTCAGGGTGGGAGCAAGGACCTAGTTATCACACGTTACAACCTGCTGTAGGTGTGGTCTCGTGAGCTGCCTGCTAGCGAAGGTCCTTGCTTCAGCAATACCTGTGTTTACTCAGTTGTTCCAGCAAAACCACAGGGTTTCAGCAGGTCAAATCAGTTTTCCAGTCCAGTTAGCCGTGTGGCAGCCATGTGAATTAATTGCTTTAGATGCTTTTATGCTGCCACTGCTGCCCAAAGACAAACCTTTGGTGTGAGAGACTTCACATCACCTGTGCACTCAGTATAGAGGAAGTAATGACAAAAGTAAAATTTTTGGTTGTAATCAACATTGTGATACTTTTTGACAACTTTTAGGCTGTGGTTTCACAGTATGGTGTATTTTTTGTTTGGATGGAGAGAATGTTTTTAAAGAAGCCGTTGGTTCAGAACCATGGCTGGCTGTGACTCAGAAGTAGGGCAGTTGAACAGAGAAGAGGGGAAGAAAATCAAGACTCTGTTTTGAACAGATTACCAAAACAGAAAGTTTTTGAATATGAGGTAAACTTCAGCCAGCTTCATAACCTTATGAATAATTTTAAACTAGTTTGTTTACATGAATTAAAGGTTTTAATGGGCGTGCCTTTATACTCAAGAAGATAGTGTGTTGATTTAGTGTAGCCATTACTAGTTTCTGCGTTTTGCAGATAAAACCGGGGTTGTTCTGCCCAGACTGAGAGCTGACTGGAGACAACTCAGCTGCAAAGCAGAAGCCCTGCACTCTGCCCAGGCAGAGGTAGGCCTTGCTTCTGTCAGCCAGGAGCTTAGTAACACATTTACAGACATCCATTTCAGTGCTGCCTCATTCCTAGACTGTCTCCGTTTGCCCAGTCAGACATAGTCCTTGGATGCAAAAATGATGTTCTAGAACTGCTGTAACGCATAGGACCTTGACTGCCTGCAATCAAATTCTGGAATCAAAACCCATGAAATTTCTGTGGTACCTACTCCTTGCCCTGAATGCTGCTGGTGCTTTGGAGCATTCTAGCTTACCTGTTCTAGAATCATAGAATCACTGAGGTTGGAAAAGACCTCTTAAGATCATCAAGTCCAACCACTAACCCAACACTACCATGACCACTAAACTATGTCCCAAAATGCTACGTCCACATGTTTTTTGAACACTTCTTCAGGGATGGTGACTCCACCACCTCCCTGGGCAGCCTGTTCCAGTGCCCCCCCCCACTCTGTAAAGAATTTTTTTCTGATATCCAACCTAAACCTCCCGTGGTGCAACTTGAGGCCATTTTTTTTTGTCCTATCACTTGTTACTTGAGAGACAAACACCAACCTCACTACAACCTCCTTTTAGGCAGTTGTAGAGAGCAGTAAGGTCTCCCCTCAGCCTTCTCTCCAGGCTAAACAGTCCCAGTTCCCTCAGCTGCTCCTCATAAGAAGAAATAATAAGAGTCTCTCCACCAAGAAATTAAAAATGTGCGGCCTTAAAATCAGTGTAGAAAAAGCTGCAATATCTGTTTGCTTTAGCTGTCTGCATTACCAGTTGTAAAAGATGAATTGACTGAGACATCAGTGAAAACACATGTACAGATGACAGGCCAGTAATTCTGTGGCCGTTTGGGGAACCTGAGGCAAGTGCTACAAGCTGAACTGCAGGGGGGAGTGGCTGGTCACCAAGACAAAGACATTAAACGTTACCTTCCCATCAGGTTTGCCAGTGTTCTGTAGTTTGATTCTAAACCTCCAGACGCTATAAAATTTTTATAAATTTGTCTGAATACAAGAATACTTTGACTTCTGTGCTTTGCCAGATAGAGATTTCTTTCTGAGCACTCAGAAGTATCTCACAGACAGAATGTTACTTCGAAGTCTTTGAGCAGTGTGTATGATAGGCAGGAATGGGAGATGAAACTTCTGTGAGTGGTTATGGTAATCTTAATGCCAGGTTTATCTTCTTATAATCTTACTTTATGTTATATACTTTCAGAAAATGGAGATGTGAATTTCACCACAGAATAGTGGAAAGCCTGGGGTGCTTCAGCTGCAGGAAGAACTTTAAACAAGCATCTTAGTATTTGTTGAGGGTTGTTGGTTTTTTCTAATGCTGCTTTTTTTTCCATTGGGTGCTGTTGCCAATGTAATGGCTAGTTACTGATGCTCAGAATTAGTTTTCCTTTGTTTTAGCCGGGATTCCATAAATCTGTTTTGCAATGAGTATTTATTTGTATCTTTTTAAGTTTTGCTCCTGAAGTAGCTTTCTAACTCCTATGTAGAGCTCTGGGAAGTTTAGTTAGAAGTCTTACTTAAGATCTTATTTGTTTAACCTGTCTCAGAGCAGTACTGTAAATAAAACCAGCTGTCAAGCTCTCCTGCTAGGTTTTTATAATAATTTGTCATTATAAGAACTGTTATAATACATTTCTTGGTTAATTTCACATGTAGTTTTTGAGATTACCCCTATTGTCCCATAATTTTCATAAAGTATCTATTGTAACTCAAAGGTCTAGTCTTTTTGTGCTTTTGTAAATATTAACCAAATCAAAACTACTGATTATCTTTATGGTGAGAAGGTAGTGATTAAATTTTAATTTCCTTTATGAAGCACACTGCTCTTTAATCCTGAAGCTTTGGTTCTACACTTAGACACTGAGCATATTTGTTCAGGTATTAGGGCGGTAAGTCTACTGATGGGCGTGAGCTTTCAAGTGATACATAACTCATCTGTATTGCATTGATGTGGCTGAGATGCAAAACCCAACTTCATTGGGTTAATAGGAAAATACAAACAATACCAGTAATTTCAGGATTAATTTTTATCATCAATTAAGATTCATTTTGGGGGCTGGCGGGTAGGATAGGGAAAAGGGGATTATGCTTAATTTATTTTTAATGTGTGTCCATGACAGTTGTGCTTTGTGAATGTGTTGTTGGGACTTACACAGGCTCTATAATCACATCTGGCTGCTCTCTACTAGGCAGAAGCTGAAGAAGATTGTCACTCTGACTTGGTAAGAACTGATGACAATGAAAGGTCTGGTGAAGCAAATCTTCAGGTATGTCTCTCATGCTACTGGGTTTTTACATCACAGTACTGCTGTTGTAAGTTACATTACTTATACTCATTTAGTTGTCACACGTTTGTGGATCTAACAAATACTTACTCTGTCTGCCCTGCCAAAAATTAAACAGATAAATGCTGTACTGTGTTCCAAGTGTCATATTCAGCCTCTGGTTATCTGTGTAGATGAAAAGAAAGTTCGTGGCAGATTTGGAATTTCTTTGAAGAACTGCAGAAATCGGACAGCTGTTTCTGTATGGATCACATTCCAGTTTATGTTGTCACTCTCTTCTGGAGCAGAAAGTTGTTAAAAGCAGTCTAATAGGAAAGAGTATTCTCTTGCAATACTAGTTATTTCTGTGTAGTTGCTCCTCAGAAGTTGTGATGATTGCAAGAGATGTAAAGTGTAACTTCATAGATGCTGAAAAAAAATGCATGGCAAGAGTTATGACTTGCCTTGTTTCACAAAGCATAGTCCTTTCTTTTTAAAAAGAGAAAGGAGTGTCAAGTCTTACTTGTATGTTATATAAATTACAGCCTTGATTGTCATAAAGCTTAATATGCTTGTGAACAAAAAAAATACGTTTTCTAAATTTTAGTTTCAAGAGCTAATTGGATGGGGCCTTGTGCAGCCTGGTCTAGTGGAAGGTGTCCCTGCTCATGGCAGGGGGTTTGGAACTAGAGGATCTTTAAGATCCCTTCCAACCCAAACCATTCTATGATTCTCTGATAATTGGCTTAGAATAAATGGATAAACAAGAACAAACATCATGTCTAGAAAAAACACTTTTCTGTTGGAGTTTTAGGCCATAGCCATAGTACTAAGAACCACTTCTGGAAACATCAGGTTTTCTTTAGAGGTGAACAGTCCAGATAAAAGCACTTATGTTACTGAATGAGATTGAAAAAGTACTTGTACGCTTTGTTTTTTCAATTCTCTGTAACCCAACTGCTAGCTCTCTCTGTTAAACTGTCTCTGAACTCACTGAGACCATTTAAGACTTGTAAGTGCGAAGGATAATTCTGAAGTGTTTTTTTGTGTTTGTACTTTATAATTTCTCCTCAGAAGATGTACTGTCTCAATATGTGATACTAAGTCAGTATTAACTGGATTTTTTCAGGCAGAGCTCCAGATGTTCAGAGCTCAGTGGATGTTTGAGCTGGCCCCAGGTATGAGTTCTAGTGGGCTGGAACCTCTGCCATGCAGAGCGTCTTCAAGAGGACCTGGAGTAAAGTCTGTAGATGCCAGAGGGAAACAGGAGATAGCAAAAGAGGAAAAGGTACAAAAAATAGATGTATAACTTGGGGACTTGTCTGTGTTAGTATTGCAGCGTACCTGTCCTAAAAGCTAGTGTTGAATTAAATCTAGAGAAAGAGCAGAGGTGATTAACCTGTTTTCTCCATAGCAGTGTCTTTCCATAATCCTGCAGTGATTTGTGTAGTTTTTGTGCTTGGCTTTGCATCACCTCCCCAGTCTGCGTTCTGAAGGACTGTGGGTAAGGACCAAGCAGGACTGAGCACAGTTTGTTGGTGGGGAATTTCATTCATGGCTTGTAGCGTATCAATGTGTTTTCTCACTCTGTTTATGGATATATTTTATTCATAGGGTGCAGTAGGTGAGATGAGAAATTGTTCTAGGTCAAGTGACAACAGGCTTGTACTTCAAGGAATTTAAGAAGTGTCCTGTCTAATTTTTTGTGCAGGCAAAAGAACTTTTCCTGAAGGCAGTGGAAGAAGAACGAAACGGGGCACTTTATGAAGGTAATATGGAATTCTGAGGTGAACACCCTTACTGCAGAGGAAACTAACACTAATTTATGTGCAAGACTGCACAATGCCAGTGACCTTAAACTGCAATCTAATAGTAATTTGAGAGCTCCATTATTCAGAGAAGCAAACAAATTTACTATAAAAGGAAACATCACGTTAGAGTTCTAGAGCAAAGGAAGAGTATCTAGCTTTCATAAAAAATTACATTACTTTGAAATCTAGCAGTTCAGTGAAGCACTGGATTGCTTCCTCATATAGCATACTTCTTTATGACTTCTGTAACATGAAATAAGCACAATAATTAACCAAGGCACTATAGTGTATTTCCTGCACTCACAATTTTCTTCATTCCACTTTGAACAGAACTACTGAACCCATGGAATATTGAGTCGTTTGTTTGTGGTTTGTTGTTTTGTTTTGTTTTGTTTGTTTGCTGGTGTGTTGTTTGGTTTTGTTTTTTTTTTTAATTTACGTAGCGTGGTGATAGCTTCTTAACAATTCCTAAAATGAATGTTTAAATCTTGTAGTCTTATTTTACGAGGTTTGCCATAAGTATTTAAGACTATTAGCTTGACTGCTGTCTTGCTATCAGCACTAGTAAAAACAGAAATACAATTTTCTTCCTCATACTTAGTTTTCAGAATATATAGAGTAGAAAGCTTGTCCTAACTTCCAAGCCCTGTAGGTCAGTATACCATTTTTTAATTTCTTTCATGGTAAAAATAGAACACAGAATATATGTGCTGTCCTCCTCATCCACTAGAATTAAAGCTGTCTTGGTTAAAGTGCAGGTGCAAAATACATCAAGATACGCAAACCTGAGAGTGCTCTGGAAGCTCCTGAGCTCTGCCACCTGTTAAATACAAAACTTCTCCACCACGGCAGCTTTCCTTCCCTTGGAAGCAATTGCTGGTGGTTGTTCCAGGTCTCAAATAAAGTGAGAGACATATGAGTCCTCAGTAGGTCATAAAATGAGTTGGTTCAGTTTCTGATTTATTACATGGCAAAATTACTTTAGGCTAAGGGATTTTGTGTGTTGGTTGTAGAATTAAATGCACAGTAAAAAAAAAGATGTCAGAATTAAATCTGATATGTAATCTATCATTTAGGAAATCCTGTAGTAGATTGTGAAGATTCTTTCAAACAAACAGTTTCCAAGTAAACAAAGAACAAAAAAAAAAAATTGAGAAAAGCTGTCTGTTTTAGCATTGTGTGTTTAAAATGAGAGCTATATCTTCAACAGCTTGGGTACATTTCTTGTGTATTAAACACAGCAACAGAGAAATAGTAACATCAGACAGAGCTGCATTCACAGAGGTGTTTGAGGCTTCTGTAGCACATGAATATGAATTCATTCCTTCTCAGTTGAATTTGATTTGAGACTTAAACTAAACTGTTTCTACACATCCATCTATATGAGACCTTAGAGACAAGGTTCTGTGCCAGACAGACATATTACTGAGCACGTGTTGGGACAGCTGTTTTCAGACCACGCTTTTATTTGCTGACCTGGCCCAGGTCACCAGAATCCTGCTCCTGAAATCTGCTGATACCTGACATTGGTTAGACAGCTATGTGCAGCAGCTTGATCCATGTTTAAGTACAGTACAGGCCTTGCTGCAAGATTAAATGCTAAAGTTGAGACTGATCTCTGTTTAGCTGGCTGCTGGTGTTTCTCATCCTCACCAGCCAGAGAGTAGTATTTGTCAGTCACCAGCCCTGACATGAACTCAAGGAAATAGGAACACTTACATGCCCCAGACTCAGGCTTCTCAGACTCATCAGCGTGTCAGATTCTGAGCTCCACACTCACTGATGTTTTATTCTGGGATTTGTTCTTAAGAGTCCAAACTGAGGGAGAGTTGCCCTCTGACCTGTCACCATGTGGGAAGACAAAGAGACATAAAAATACATGCGTGATCTTAATACTGGTGTTAAACCAGACTGAAAGTACATAAAATGAATCCATTTAAGGATCCACACAGTTAACTCAGAAGAAAGACATCCTGCGACTTACATAACAGTTACTTCCTATAGGGTGATATTCCTGGGCCTATTTCTCTACTCAGTGTTTGTAGCATCTTTGGAGTGTTAAAGGCAGAAGTACTTTCTCTGTGTGCTAGAAGAAAACTTATCTGTCAGGTTTTCCTTCATGACCTATAGTTTTGTGCTTGCTATGTAGCTTTTTGAAAAGGCTACTTTCCACCCTCAGTGGTATGAGTGGCTCCAGAGTTTTGCCACACAAAATTTACTTGTTTTGTGTCTACTGTTGAAGTTTTTAAATTATAACGATATTTTGTTGGTCTTTCTCACCTTTATAAGTTGTGCATGTCTGAAGGACTGTCTGCACTATACTGGGAATTTAAAGTTCCTGCATCATCTTTCAAAATCTCTTTCATGCTCCTCATGGTTACTTATGAAAATTGTGCCTAAAATCTTTATGTCATGCTGAGAAATCTTTTTAAGTGCTGGGCAACAAACAAAACCAGGACTTTGTAATGTTTTAATGTAAAATTTTGTACTACATAATTAAATTTGTGGTAGTCAAGGTAAATCTCTAAGGGTTGAAAAACATCTAAGAGAGTTCATTATAAAAGAGCACTTGAAGTTTTTAGTTTTGAAAATAGATGCTTTTGTACTGAATTTGAACCTAACCCGTTTAGACTCACTGTGATTTACGAGGTAAAGGCATTTCTCCACTTTTTCAGTGCTTTTAGCTGAAGCCATGTCTCTGAAAAAAAAAAAAAAACAACCTTGCTTTAATAAGCTAGTATAGGCATCAGACATGTTTAAACATTAAACTTTTATTTTCAGCCATCAAGTTTTATCGTCTGGCTATGCAGCTTGTGCCTGACATAGAGTTTAAAATCACGTACACACGGTCCCCAGATGGTGATGGTGTTGGAAAGAGGTGGTGAGTATGAAAATTTACCAATTAAGTGCACAGAGGTATTGAAAGCCAGGATTTTGTTTTTAAAGCACATGGATGCTCTGCTGTGATACGCAGTTGTAAGTCTCTCAACATCTGGAAAACTTGTCTACTTTCATTTGAATAGACTGCTTCATATAAGTTTGCAGAGGCGTTAGTTCAAGAAGGACTTCCCTGTACTGTAGGTCAAAGAAGGTGATAGGCTTGTTTGTTTGGAGCTAGTTAAATTCCTGTGGAAGGATTGCAAATAGTTATGTTGCTGCTTAGAAAAAAGCATCACTCACTTCATTACTTTTCACTTATGATTGTCAGATTTATGAGTTATACATTGAGGATCATCTACGAAATTGTAGATGGCAAAAAGGTCAATTAGTAAAAGCTTCTTACTGTGGAATAAGCATCAAAATTAAGCACAGGAATATACCACTGTTCTTGTACTAACACAGCCAAATGGGAGCCTTTCCAGTAAGTAGAGCAATATGTTTAGAAGCTCTTAGGTTATAATGTGAGCAGTCTGTGGTCTTTCATCATCACAGGCATCAGAATACCCTTACCCTCAACACAGCCAATGTGTGGTGGCTTAAGGTTGGCCTCCCTTGAGCCCAAGACTTACATTTGAGGACAGGATTCATGTTAGGGCCAAAACTTCTGTTATAGCCCAGATAGCGTAGCGAAGAGAAGCCTATGAAACAGCCTCCCAGTTCACTACTTGCTGGTAGCAGCCATAGATGCTGCTGATAGCTGCAAGAAATCAAGAGTTTCAAAGCTGAGAATAAAAGAGGAAATTGCAACCACATTGGTGTGGCATTACTCACTCCGTCTTGTTGCCCCTGGGCAGTACAGCTTTAGTGCAGTAGTTGACTTGACATAAAAGAGAGCAAGATGAGCTAAGTACTTTATTTACATCAATGACTTTGGTTTCTGAATGCATCTCTAGCACAGTCTTTGCTGTGCATTTCTGCACTAGGAAAGTGCTGGATGATGAACTATAGTCACGTAAAAATCTTGGGGGTTTTAGGATTATTTTCTTACTTTAGCATAATTTTCTCTACTCCCTTCATTAAGCCTTTTTGACACACAAGTTGGGTAGGAGTGTTGATCTGCTTGAGTGTAGGTAGAAAGACTCTCCAGAATGATCTGGACAGACTGGGTCGATGGGCCAAAGCCAATTGTATGAGGTTCAACAAGGCCAAGTGCCATGTCTTGCAACTGGGCCACAACTACCCTAGGCAACGCTACACGCTTGGAGAAGAGTGGCTGGAAGCTGCCTGGTGGAAAAGGACCTGGAGGTATTGGTCAACAGACAACTGGGAGCCAGCAGTGTGCTCAGGTGGCCAAGGCAGCCAACAACATCCTGGCTTCTATCAGAACTAGTGTGGCCAGCAGGAGTGGGGAAGTGATCATCCCCCTGTACTCAGCACTAGTGAGTCTGCACCTCAAGTACTGTGTTCAGTTTTGGGACTCTCACTATAAGGAGGACATTTTCAGGTGCTGGAGTGGGTCTGGAGAAGGACAATGAAGCTGGTGAGAGGTCTAGAGCACAAGTCTTATGAGGAGCAGCTGCGGTAGCCGGGTTTATTTAGTTTGGAGGAAAGGGGACTCAGGGGAGGCCTTATTGCTCTCTACAGCTGCTTGAAAGGAGCTTGTAGTGAGATGAGGGTCAGTCTCTTTTCCCAAATAACAAATGATAGGATGAGATGAAACAACCTCGTGTCGCATGAGGGAAGGTCTATATTGGACATCAGCGAAATTTCTTCACAGAAGGGTTTATCAAGCGCTGGAGCAGGCTGCCCAGGGCGGGTGGTGGAGTCACCATCCCTGGAGGTATGTAAAAGATGGGTAGATATGGTGCTTAGGGACATGGCTTAGTGGTGACCTGCCAGTGTTATGTTTACAGTTGGACTCAATGAGCTTAAAGGCCTTTCCCCACCTAAATGACTCTATGATTCCCTAAATTTTCATTCAGTTTTGTAAATGCTGCTGTCCCCAGCACTATGTGACAGTGAGGGCAAAAAATGCCAGTGCTGCCAATTGTTTAAAAGCACAATTTTTAGAGGTGTGTTTTTCAAGAGATTCTCGTTGTGATACTTTTGCTTTACGGGTTACTGTTGTTATTGTTTCATACAGTCTTGGTGAGAAAAACAAAATTATACAATTACATTTAAAAAAGCCTGTTTACAGTGTGGCCTGTAGGTACCTGTAGGACTGGCCATCGTATTAATCAAAATAAAGGAAGGAATGTTCAGAGCAACATCTTAACTGTAGTCGTAGTTCTATGTCAGGCCCAAACATAATTGTCTTCTCTACAGTGCTTTAAAGTCCACTGGTTGCTTGCATATATTTTCAGCTTTATTTTATTGAGCTTCCTTAGAGTAGGATTGAGTAGTAATACTAAAAAGTAACTGGAAGATTTCTTAGCTAGCTTATATACCAAGTCAGAGGAATGAAAATGATTGTGATGGGATTGGGGAGAGCTGTGTAGTCTGTGGTTACTTTGTGCAAGCAAGCATGCACCTATTAAAGGAGCATATTATGACATACAACTTAAATTTATTTTTTTTCTAAATGTAGTAATGTTTTTCTTCATTATTGAGGAATACACCCACTGAGGATCACTCTGAAGTGAATAACACATAAGTAAAAAAAAAAAAAATTTGTTTTCAATATCTTATGTTGAGACAAGGATTACAAAATATAACTTTATGTCATTGTTAATTTATTTCCTATGTAACTTAGACAAAGTTAAAGATGAGATTTCTCTTTTCATGGGGTCAAGCAATTCATCAGTGACTTCACTAAAAACTGTGAACAGCAAGCTCTCAAATCCAAAAAGAAACTGGAGTTGGAATTAAATGATGAAAAAAAAAGTTGTTTCTTTCAAATGCATTCTAGCAAAATCTAAATGAACTTGATAAGATTGCAGTAGTTTTTTAATCATATGATGAAATAAGATTGCTTTAAAAACATACAGGAAGCAACTCTATTGGATGATGGTAAGACAGCGGATTGGTGCCAAGGACATCTGTTGGTACCTTTTGTCCAGTATCACAGTGTTGGCATTCCCCCTTTTCTAGTGTTGAGGATAACAAAGAAGATGACAAAATGGCTGATCTCCTGTCAGATTTCCAGCAGCAGTTAACTCTTCAGGAATCTTCAGTCAAACTTTGCCAGCCTGAGGTCGATGTCAGCCAGACCCATATCTCAGGTATAAGTAGAGATAAGCTGTAAGAGTAGAGGCAGAATTTATAGAAATGGTTTGCTCTATTAAAAACGTTTTTCTCCTTCCTTCTGAAGCCACCTTTAAAGAAATGTACGGAGTATCTCTTTATTTACTTTTACAGTTAGATGTAAAGGAAAAAAGTGAATCAACTAGCTAAATATGTTTTTCTTAGATATGATTTTGTCTTTCTTGAACAAGCTTTTCCATGTAGTACTACTACAAAGCAGAATTTTTCAGGGTCAGAGTCATATTTAGAAGTAGCAACTTCTAGAAATAGACTTGCTGAAGTAAGTGTATCCTGCTCTTCCTTAACAGTTAATGTTTGAAAAAGTGAAATGTGGAGTTTTCTAGTTTGGTTTGCAAATATTTATTACAATTCTTCAATGTGAATAAGAGACAATTCTTCTGTGAAGAATATGCATTTTTGCATTTCCTGTTTCTATTTGATGATCAGATTTTTTACAACAAATCTGTTCTCAGGTTCAGAAAAATGATATAACATAACTAGAAAGGCTTTTGAAGGTTAATGATTTTCAGTGCTTCAGTTCTAGATCAGTCATCCTGAGACTTCCTTATGAGATCTAAATTGTGGAGAGTGTACATAAGATATGAACGCTTTTAAAATCAGATGCCTCTGAAGTGCGTATTTTGCACCCTGAATTATTGGTTGCTTTTGGAAATCTAGTGTGACCTTCTCTTCTCTGCTCAAGGAGGGTATGTACAGCTAGTTGCTGTCTAGTGTACCTTTGTGCTGCTCGGGCGTTTTCTCCGTGAGATCTCAAAGCAGTAAAATCATCAAATCTTCAAGTATACGTAATGACCCAATCAGAGAAAACCTAGGTAGGCAAAAAGTTATTAGAAAGAATTTTGGCTTAATTTCCAGGGCTTTCTCACTGTACTTTTAGTATTAGGAAAAATTTCATATGATCTTGTGGCGCTTTGATGAGGCTTCTGTCATTGTCTTGTATTACATTAGAAAAGGTCTTTCAAGAGGGCAGTGCTGTGTGATACCATCTGCAGTCACTGGTCCTGTACCACAAATATCAATTTCATAGTGGATAGGTTGCTAGGACCTTTTATCCAGTACTGAACCTGACCTGAGCTAATTTAACTTGCCATGCAAAAAAAAAGCAGCATGTTTTGAGGTAAAGTCACACAGTAGGTCAGTCTGAAGAAAATACTGCTTCACAGGCATTCTGGATATGCAGTGTATTTGTGAGATTTTTGGTATAAAACATATATTTGTAATCTAAACCCATGGTTTTTCCTGTCATCTTCCCATACTGCACTTTCGGCTCTTGATTTTTTTTCTTTCCTTATATGAATTTTTTCCTAACATTTGGTGACTTTTTATATTAAAGGTACTTTTTTTGTTCTCTGGCATCTGCCTACAGTGTGAAAAAGTGGGGTTTTGTAGTGGCAAGTCAGAACTTCAGTAGTGGCCACACCTGGAATTACAGATAACCTACTGATTTACAAGTGTCCATCTAACAAGGATTTCTCTTCTCTTTGCAGTGCTGCCTCTGGAAGTGCTCATGTACATTTTCCGATGGGTGGTTTCCAGTGACTTGGACCTAAGATCATTAGAGCAATTATCTCTGGTTTGTCGAGGATTTTACATTTGTGCCAGGTATTGTAGATGAGTTACCTAGAATGAAGCTTCTCTCTGCTCTCTTTTCACACTCAAGCATATGTAAACAGTGTGGAGAGGGATAACAAATTCATACAGTAAAATTGCCAGTGTTGGCTTTTCACTTTTAGGCTGCTCAATTGTACATGTAATTATATTTTTGCTTTGTCTTCCCATGGCAAGTTTCATGTTATGTTCCTCACAGTACTAACCAGCTTTTGAATACACCACTAAGCAGGATGTTAGTTAGATGACTTCACTGTAATAAAAAAATGTTGCTGAAAGTCTTACCTGCTTTACCTTGGTTGAAAGGCAGAGCTGCAGGGTCTCCAAAATAATGTCTGTTGTGTTGTCATCCTCATACGACCACGCAGAGAAATGCCAGGCTGCTGCAGTGTTCTTCTGTGCTTGGCTGAGAGTGGCATTGTGTTCTGGAGTTTCATTGGGAGGAGGAAGTGGCTTTCAAATACTCCAGGATTAAGTAAATTAGTCATTGATTTTAAACTATGACCTATTGTTGTTCAAGAAAGTTCCTTTCAGTTGCATCCAAAATAAATAATGGAGTGTGTTACTTTGATACATATCAAAGCTAAACACGGTTTGCAGGAAAGTTATAAGGTTTGCTTTTTTTCTCATTTCCACTAGAGATCCTGAAATCTGGCATCAAGTCTGTTTGAAAATATGGGGCAGGAGCTGCAATAAACTTGTTCCATATGCCTCTTGGAGGGAAATGTTTTTGGAAAGGCCTCGCGTTCGATTTGATGGTAAGGTGTATTTTGGAAATTGTTGGGGTTTTTTTACTGCGTGTAAACATGACAGAAGCAGTCAGGTGGGTTTGATGTTTATGACATTGTTAGACCTAATGTGAACTTGTTTGGGCTTTTGAATCTGTAGAATATCTGTAAAGAGAAAGGAAGTGTGAAAAAGGATGAAAATAAAAACTTTCATGTGTTTAAGCAACAAAAACCCAAAAGTTTTAGATTCCTTTTTTTTTTAATCTTAAATATTTTATGTACTTTATTTTTGTTTGTGTACTTCTATCTTCCTGTCCTGTAGGTGTATATATCAGCAAGACAAAATACATACGTCAAGGAGAACAATCTCTTGATGGTTTCTATAGAGCATGGCACGAAGTGGAATATTACAGGTAGAGCTGTAGTACAATGAGTGAGTGAAATGTTTCTCTCTTAAGTTTTTCAAATCTGGCCCTTGATACCACAAACATCAATCATCCTGTAAAACTCAATGGAACTACTACAGTGTGTAAAGCTATATATATTTTTTGATAATAGAGCTTAAGAAACAGGATTTATTATGATAATTAGAGATGGGCTTAGAAACAGATTTTGTCTTCAGTTACACTGTTTCCTGTGAATCAAACTTGAACAGCAAAAACAGTAATACTCATCCACAGATTCCTTTCCCCAAATCACTTCTGCTTTACATTTCTGATACAATAACTGTTTTCAGGAAAGGGAAAACAAGGGATTATACAAGAATTAGCTTTTAATTTATGTGTAATCAATTGTTAATAATCAAGAGGCTGGGCTTTCTCAACTTGCTGTAAATACCTTGCCGTGTGTTTCCTCAGCCTGTTTTTCTGCTGTCTTTCATCTTGCTGTTCCCAGCATTTACTGTTCTATTCTGCTGTCCCTTCATGGCTACTTGTATAGTCTCACAAACATCAGGACAGTCTTCTGAGTAATGTCAAAACTGATCAGATCCCAGAACCTGAAGAAGTCCATATGGCAGTGTCTGTTCTGTACTGATATTGTAATTAAGGTTTTGTTGTGTTTGTCTCAATGGATGCTAGAAATTGAGAAACTTCCTTGAGATCAGTTCTGATTCCAGGGTGGCCTTTTTGCTTTGCTTAGAGGTGACAAAACTGAAATTCTACCTTCTTTCATAACTCTTCATAACGTAATCTTCAAAACTCTTTCAATTTCTGATCTCTTTTTTTCTGTTATATTGTGTATGAAGAAAAATGTTTTCAAGTCCTTTTACCTGTTAAGTTGTACATCTTTCTGGGAAATATCCTGTGATTTAAAAAAGAAAAATCCACAACAGAAAAAGGATATGTTTTCTAGGTTTGTATTGTGTAATTATATTTTTGCAGGTATTTGAGATTCTTTCCAGATGGTCAAGTGATGATGCTAACAACTCCTGAAGATCCTCAATCTATAGTTCCTCGCTTACGGACAAAAAATACAAGGTTATTGTAATAAAATATTTGGTTCTACAGTTTTTGTCTTGCTCTTACCTGGAACTTTCTATTTACTTTTGTCTCGGATGCTATGTCCTGGCAAGGGTAAAAATACCATGTTATTTATATTGTGTTATAGGTATTTATAGTTCTTTTCTGAGATCTACAGAAAATGTTGGTCTCTATGCAAAGGTATCTTTCGTTTTAAAGTCCTCATATTGTAATTGGATTGCCTTTGCAGGTTGTGTGACTTTATTTTTTTAAAATGAAGTAGATAGAAAAATACATGCTATTAGTTGGATGGTTTCAGAATCCTTTTAAAGATGTTATTCTAATTGATTGCCTTGCCACACTTCCTTGACTTTCTGAAGGAAACTGAAGATTTTTGGTAGAATATAACTGAACTATTGCTTGATTTCTTTTTGACATTTGTGCAAACTTGTTAAAAATGAAGAAAATTGTCTACAACTTCAGGTTGGAGCTGTTCACCAGAAGTCTGAAAATATTTATCAGTAGGCTAGGTAGAACTCACTAACTTATCTTTACTGTCCTATCTGGGAAAATTAAAGCAACCTTCAAAATGTTTTAATGATCTCATATCATCAGTGTGCCTGATACTTTACTAAATAGAAATTGAAAAGTTTCATTAATTATGATATGCAGTCAGTCTTCTTTTCATTGCTGACATTTGTATTATAAGTACATTGCTCTTTTGAGACAAGTTTCTTTGTCCTTGACAAAATCCTCCTCTTAACCTTCCAGAACGGATGCAATCTTGCTTGGCCATTATCGCCTTTCCCAGGAAACAGACAATCAAACCAAAGTATTTGCTGTAATAATGAAGAAAAGGGAAGAGGTAGGTAGTGAAATATAGTAAAGGAAAAAGAGTTTGAAGAGCAAGTTTTTAAATATTTTTTTTCTCACACTGAATGTTTAATGGCACCTGAAGATTTGCATTACACTAGAGGACTGAAAAATTGATTTCTTTTTTTTAAGTGGTTTTAAAAATAGAATATAAATAAGCATGGTGATCTGTCTTACCTTCTTTTCGCAAATCTGTAATATTGCTTTTATTAAAACAGATAAATACCTAGTTCACATTTGAGCAACAGGTCTCCCCCATAGGCTTAATTACCACATACGATGTTTTTAGGTAGTTTGTTCACCCTATGAACACACTGTGAACAACCAGAAGGGAAGAATGAAGAGGTAATTTTCTGAGATCAGTTTTGACTGCCAGTTATGTTTCACAGCATTAAATAAAACTAAGTAAGCCATTTTCATTAATTGAATTCTGATTTGGTCAACTTATTTATGTCACAAAATTTTCGGATTAACAACATTTCTGTCAAGAGAAACTTGTGAAGAGTTAGAAGTTTTACATGACTTTACAATGAGTTTGCATAGTTTAGGTGGTGTCCTCCACACTTAACCTTATTTTCTGTGAAAATTTCTTCCACGTTTAACATCTGAATTGGCACATCTCCAAGGAATACCAGCACTTGCTTTTAAGTCCGAGAGTTTAACATTCTGTCCTCACAGCTACTTAGATCTCAGGATAAATAGCTGGGCAACATGTTCTTGGTAGGTCGTGAAACTTCTTTCTTCTTTGTACAGAAACCGATGGACTACCACAAGTACAGGTATTTCCGCCGCGTTCCTGCACAAGAAACAGATCACAGTTTCCATGTAGGACTGCAGTTGTGCTCCAGTGGGCGCCAGAGGTTCAACAAACTTGTCTGGATACATCATTCTTGTCATATAACTTACAAGTAAGTAAATGGAAAGTAAGATCAAAGAAGGATACTTAACTGCAGGAAAAGATGATGTGAATTTGTCCAGTACTAAGTACAGAAGGTGTAAAGACTTCTACCAGGCTTAACAAAATGTCTTGAAAAGAGTAACTGGTCGCGATTTGATATATCATAATGAACTGAACTTGAACTTGAATGAAGTTCCCAAGATTTCAGTAACTTTTTATAACGGTATAGGAAGTTTCCTAAGTAGTAGAGCTGCAGTATTTGGGCCGTTTAAAGGATTTATGCACAGTGTTTGAATAATTTCGTAATAGAATCAGGGTTTCATGACGTAGTATGATGCTATTAAAGGGGTGTGGAAAATGTACACTCATTAAGGTGTATTTCTTTTCCTCTGGGAATGTGGAAGCTGGGAATGTCTGCCCAGGTCCTGTGAGATCTGTAACACTTGCAAACTGTATAAAGCAGCAGTAAAAAATACAGGCATGTAAGCAGCTGTTCTGATCCCTAACCCAACAAGAGCCATGGCCACTGTTCTTGCATCTGACACTCTAAATTAACGGCAAATTGGCTGTCCAGATCTTTGATGTTGGCATTTAGGGTGGATGTAGGCCTTGTCTTCCAGTCTTCTTAATCTCTGTATTCAATGTTTTTATAGGGACATAGTTTAGCTATTGAGCCCTAAGTACTGGGAAGATCTAGGAAGAAGTCTGGGAAGTAAACTACTGGTATTTGGGAGGAAAGGTAAATTTCATAAACAGAAAAAAAAATTTTATAAGCCCAAATATTTTCACACCTAATTTATGAAGTGACAATATCACAGACAGTCTTTTTAGCCTGAAGTTTTGTACTGCTCAGGTTCTGCTGTACCTCGCTGTCTGGTGGTGTCCTTTTGAAACTAGAATGAAGATGAGTATAAAATGCAGCTAGGAGGACCTGTGCTTTTTGTCAGCATTCTTTTTAAAGTTTCATAAACATAAAAGTTTTTGCTGTCACTCTGTAGTCTGAATTCAGGGCTCTAAGGGAGACAGATGGGAATTTTTACTTCAATATTAATAAGCTGGCTTGAGTGACATTCTGAACTGTTTCAAGACTTGGAGCTAATAATAAGAATGGAAGGAGGAAGTGGTTTCTTTGATATTAAAATAGAAATATGCTCTATACAGTGTGATTTGGCCAACACTGAAGTGCTTTCAGGACTGAGGCAGTTCAGAAGACACATTCCAGCTGTAGTTTGGTGCACGCACTGCACTGTGGAACGTGATTACACTTCTGAGGGACTTACACAGCAACTTGTGTCTAATGGAACTTTTACAATCCTCTTTGCAGATCGACTGGTGAGACAGCTGTTACTACTTTCGACATTGACAAAATGTACACCCCTTTGTTCTTTGCACGAGTGAAGAGTTTCACTGCATTTTCGGAGAAGCCGCTCTAAGAAACATCTTTTCCTCTCACAACTCTTGCATGAATGAAAGGTTGTAGCTAATGAGCACTTAAGTTATAAATGTGTATATATTTGGAACATTTTAAAATTCTGGAGAGTTTTTTGAAAGCAATACGTTCTGTTTGATTATGAATGGCTGGGATGTTGTTTTGAAATCAAGCTTATGACCATTAAGCACCTTTACTTTGCGACAAGAATTTGATAACAAAGTTTTGTGGTTTGCCTTGGTTTTTTTTAAAGAGATTTTATAAATCGCTTCATTTAAAATGTGAGTCGTCATCTGCCTGGATGCAGGTTTGTCCAAAAGGAATTGTTACAGGAAAACCTCACTGTCCTTGGGACAGTGCGTGTGGTCTCTGGTAGAGGCTTGAAACATGAAGGGGAGAAAGTTGTCTCATATCTGTTAAGCTATGTGACTTAAAAGAACTTCAAATAAATGTTTTCTTTAAGTTAAACTTAATTTGTTTGCCTTTGAGATCTAGCATCTTGTTAACATCAACCTGAAGAAAAAACCATGAAGGGCAAGCAAGCATAAAATTTTAACTGTGGAGGTACATCCCCAGCACTGCAGTGATGGCAGCAGGTCATAAATGTGATTTGACCTTGACAGGCACCCAGTGGAGCCTGCCTCCTTGGCAGGGTGGGTGTGAAGGGGAGGGGATGTGGGCAGTGAGTTGTTCTCTGGTGTTGTGGGACAAGTTTGTGGGGCACGTGGCTCTGCTCAGGAAGTGCTGGTGTGTACTGCTCCTGGATGGGCCAGCTCTGACACGGGTCAGCAGGGCTCCCCTGGGCACGATTTGATGTGTTATAACCCCTCGTCTAACCTCGCTACAGATGCTGTAAACCCTTTGAGCATTTGTCATCCTAAGGTAACTTTTGAGGCTGCTGTAGATGTTCAGGTGCTGTGTACTGCTACTCATGAAGTGCACCCTGAGGTTTGGTGCAGGTCCTGTACGCTGCTTCTCCTGCATATATCGCTCGGGGGGGTAGTGCAGATGCTGTAATGCTGCTTGTTATCTGTGTATCTTGGATTCTGAGAGAACTCAAGCTTTTTAGTGTTGTTTTTTAAAGCCATTTTGCATAACTTAACTTTGAACATCTCGTTTCAAAATACTGACCTGGACTTGAGGACTCAAATGTGAAAGCTGCGGGAAGAACTGTACGTGTTCCATAATTTATAAAGTGTATCTTTGCAAGGAGCTACATGATTAAAAATACATCAATAAATCATGATTTTAAACATGCAATCCCTTGGAATTTCTTATTTTGCGAAAAAATCGTTATTTCCATACAGTTAAAGATGGTTAGTTAGGAGTTCTATGCATAAACTGTATGCTAGGCAAGATCAACAGGTAGAGTTAACCTCTTAATGACTTTCTATTACATTACTTACAGGTTGTCTGAGACAAGTAGAGAAGCTTTCAGGTACGTGAGTTCTGAATAAGGGTGTCTGTATCTGAAACTTTGTGCTTTTTCTGGGTAGTCTGTTAAGACTCTGCCCACAGCCCTTCTGTGGTCTGTGTCCTTAGACTGTGGGTGCACTGTGACTCCACACAACAGAATGTGTAATAAGGAGTGCATTGTGTTCCTACTGCTGAAGGGAAGATGATTCCTCAGAGTACCAGCTTCGTGTTTTGAAATATTTCCAAGTCTGTAAGCAGGGAAGGATGATATTTACCTACGGTTTTGTTGAGGGTGAAAGATAAAGATCTGATTCTGCCTGCTGAGAAATGTCAAAAAGTTTTGTCACAAGAATCAGAAGGTGATACCAATTATTTGTTTGGGTATAGTTTTGCCCGGGGACCAAGCTGGATGTGATAGGAAAACCTTTTGTTCCAAGTTCTTTTCATACCGAGACTTCGCTGCTTCTTCTGAGCTTTTGTTTTTATCCTGCCTTGGCTGTGTGTTTGAAGTACACTCTGGGCTTAAGGCAGAGCTCGCTTGTGTCCTGTTACCAGCTGAGATGTCAGTCCAGCAGAAGTCTCAGGTGATGATTATTTTAAGATCACACAAAATATGCCTTCACCAAGAAAATTATGTGAGCCTTCTGTCTGTGAGCCTGAGCTGTGATTAATGTGCTTGCTACATTTAGCAATGCAAGAAAGTTGAGTTAGTTTTGTGTTCCGAAACGGTTTATCAGCAGATACCATTACTGTCTGTGCATGTGCACCTATTAAAATAGAACTTGTTCAGGAAAAAAATGGGTGACCAGTTGCTCTTCCTTTATTCTATCTAGTGATTTTCAGTAGTCCAAGGCTTTAATTGCTAGAAGCTCTGTGTTCTTATAATGTAACATTATTGTCCTTTTAATTACTATACAGAGATAAGTCGGGTTAACTAGTTTGCTGCTGGGAAATTGTCCTTTACTAATTGTATTAGCAACTTGAGTAAAAGGATGATGTACACTCCTATGCAGTCCTTTTCCCCAAGAGTTTATAGTATGAGAAGTTCACAGAAAAATGGAAGGAGGGCTACGAAAAGTGACAGAAACATGGTTCTCAGAGCTGTAGATCTTTTGTGCATTGGATTAAAGACAGCAGAGTGGACAGTTACGTGGGGAGAAGATGCTCAGGTGACAACAAGTTATGCTGATTTGGCTCAGTCTAGTTGGAGATCAGCACCAGCTGAACTTTGTGTGCAGTGCTGGGCTGTAGCCGGGGGCAGGAGGTGGAGATGATGGCAATTGAGCGCTCTGAGCAAAGGACCAGCAGCAGACGTGCCAAGCTCAGCTCCTGATTCACTCAGTAGCCATGAGGCAAGCTGGTACATGCGGTGTTTACACAGGGGTTTGAGTTTTTTTTTAATCCAGGAAGCTAAAACAGAAGTTCTACCTGGTTTAGTTTGTGCACTTTTTTTTCAAAGGAATTTGCTTGATTGATTTATTATTATTTCCCCCCCTCAAAGCAGCTCTACCCCCTCAGGCTGTTGCAGCTTTGGGATGTGGCTTCCTGAGGTGCATTTGCTGGTACCACTGCACAATGTGCTGTTCTGCCATTAGGAGGCACGCCACGGTTTGGAGTTTTCTTTTGTACTTCATGAACTAAATATATTTCTTTTTCCCGACAGTTTATTTAAAATTTGAGAACATTCCAGGAAAAGCAGAAAATGCAACAAGCAGTAGTTCAGCATTGTATTTAGCGTGCCAAGCATTCAGCTCCTTACATTTCTGCACTAATGAAACATCCACGGTGATACAACTGAATGGGAATAAAGAGAAAGGCCAGTTCTTAAAGGGATTTTAAGCAGCTGAATCTCAGGGTGGAGCCTTCAGTCCTGAGTTTGTTTCCCAGACACCAGGATGGTGGCCTCCAAGTGGGTTCTGAAGTAGCCTATATGCAAAGTGAGAACCTCCCTGTGTGATGAAGGCTGGCGTGCTGAAGTGTGTCTTTTCACCACGGTCCCTTGGGGAGCCCCTGTTCCCAAAGCAGCCATCGTCGTTTCGGTCCCTGCCCAGCTCCAAGGGTTTCTGTTTGGAGCCCGAGTTTCCCAGGGCAAGGTTGTCGGCCCTAGCCAGGGCCCAGCAGACGTGCAGTTGGGGGTTTTTGGTTGTCCTGTCCTGCAGGACATAACAATGCATCTTACTTGTAGAACTGCTTTAAGAAGGAGGACTGAATGTTGCCCCAGGAACCCTATAAAACTGGTACTGTGCATGCGAATGGAGTACCTCAGCTAGAGGAGAGAGGTGAACCCATGAGCTGGAAGTATGTCTACCTTCTGTGCAGATCTCCCCCAGATGCTGGGGTTGCACATATTTTTAAGGAGATATCGCAGGGGTGTCTCACTGCAAGGGGACTTCAGGACGCTACTTCCTATGCTGCTAACAAATTTGGTTTAGGTCTAGTACTTCACACTTCAGTGTTGATTAACCTGGGTTGGCCAATTAAGGTATGTTTAGAGGGATGTTACTTTGATTATCAGCTCTCATTTGCACATTTCAAGAAAAAATAAGGTACAAAATACTGGTCCTTTTTCTCTTCCCTGTATCCTGATCCCTGTATCGGCAAACAGCTGAGTTTGCTTCTGAGATAACTGGTGGAGGAGACACCTCAGGTTCGGTGGGGAATGGGGTTCGGTGGCCTAATGTAGAGGAAAAAGCATAAATCTCTTCATATTATAGAGGAAACCTGATAAACATGTATGAAAGCAATAATCAGTTCCAATCAATTTTCATTAACAGTATGGGTATTAGGGGTTGGTTTGTTTGTTTCCTAGCTGATCTATCCTAATCGCTGTGGCATCTTCTCCAGGAGCAGCAAAGCTGGAGACCAAAACGTAGAGTGAGCATCTTCTTGCCACTGTCTGAGATATAGAATGAAAATGCCCAGTCCCTGGCTGCCTGGTGTCTGCTCCCACCCCTGCAGGGCTGGTCTGCACCTTGGGACTGGCCCATGCTCCATGACCACCTGTGCAGCAAGGCCCAGCTCTGCTAGAAGCTACTTAGCGGAAACTGCATTTCAGCTAAATGTAATTGTTCTTTGTCCAGCACAGCCAAATTGTTCCCTGTACAGATTAATGTAAAGATGGGTTTCATCAATCTGATTGCTCAAAAGCTTTTCTGTTTTCACTTTATGGTAAGCGATGTTAACCCACAGCTCGTTTCAGCTGAACCATTCTTCCCACACCTCACTGATTTTTTGGGGGTGTGAGTGGGATACCCAGGGAAAAAATGGTTCCTATCATACAACCTTTGAGAAGACCTTTGAAATTCAGTGTACTTTCCACAACTTCTGTACTTTGGTTTCAGTAGAAATCAATGAAAAGGTCTTTAATTTGTTGGATAATGTGACATCTGCCTTAAATGACAAATGTGAATACAGTGAGTGGGTTCAGTGCTGCCTGGAAATCTAATCACGTGGAGAAGAAAATATTGAGTACCCTTAAACTCGCCTTGAGTATACACATTAGTAATTGACAGTGTCTAGACAGATGGTGATCTGGAAAGTAAAGTCTGGGAAAAATAAACTTAGATATTAAAGTCAGCTCTATTTCCCAGTGGTATTAAAGTGGGAAGATTGAGGGGGGTTAACTTTCATAGCAGCTGACAAAACAGTTGCCAGTAGTTTTCTTTTGCTCCCTCTTTAGAATCTGTGGCTTTTTAAATATTTCACATGAAAACCCACCCAAGTCTGTAGAACTTGAAAAACTACTACAAAATGTAACTTGATGATAAGACGAATGTTTGTCTGGGTATGTGCAACGCTGTGAATCAAGTTTTTCTTCTTCCCTCTTGAAGGGCTCTAATTTAGAGTTTTATGAGACCAAAATCATACAGTGTATTGTCAGCATGTGGTTACTATTGTTCACAGAAATAAAAAAAGTAACGATGAGATTCA